CTCTCTACACAGTGCAGAGGGCCCTGGAGCCACTGGGACCTCAGTGTGCTAAGCTTGGTGTGTTTCAGCAGGTAATTTTTTTATTTCCACAGGGCAATGCAAAGGAAGAGAACACAGGGGAACTAAGGATTGTGAAGGTCTCTGTACTTAACTCTAAGCAGTGGGACTCTCTTGGCAAACCTGCCCTCTCACACTGGGAGAGGCTGGGTCAAGGCTGGAGAAAGGACTTAGCCAAGGGCGCAGACTGGAAGGTGAATCCAGAATCCAGACCCAGGGCTCTTGACTCCAAATCCAGGCTCTCCCACGCTGTGTGCAGAGAGCGCGTGTGTGGATGTCTGTGCGTGCTCCATCAGCTGGAGAGCCAGGAGGCAGAGTGGCCAGATACTGGAGCTGGGTATTGCACTCCGTCCTTCTGAGCCCCATGTGGATTTACACAGCACGTTTCACACAAGCCAAGAATGGTAGGCAAAAGCCATACTGCCAACAGCACCGGGCCTGGCCATGGAAAGAGGCTGAGAGAAGTGTCAGAGGGCCAGTTTCAAATCCCAGTAGACAGACTGTACCCAAACAAAGCTACCATGGGCAAATGATATGCCTGATAGAGCCAGGTATTTCCCAGTGGGTGCTGACTGAAACACTGAAACAAAATTTAGTGCTGAATCTCATCTTCCTACTATTACCACTTTGTGTTTATATAGCAAGATTACTTTCCTCTAATAAATGAAAATCTATTTCATCTTTTTTCAATGTTTTAACAACTTGGCACGGTAGTTAGGACAGATGTCCTTATTTTACAAATGAGAAAACTAAACACAAGTCAGTTTGCTCTGTGTCCTGCCCTACTGGTATAGTCACGATTTCTTTTTTTTTTTTTAATTTACATTTTTTTAATACATTCAATCACATTATTTAGCTTACAAGGTGATCATTTTCGATATGTGAACATTTCTCCCCGGTCCAGTTGATCAAAATATAACAATACTACCTCCCTGTCTCAACAATGCTGTCTCCATATCCCCTCTCCAAATGTTTTTCCCCAGGCCCCACTCCTCCACACACACCACATCTGGCATTCACACCCATCTCTTGTGTTTGTACATCCTTTAGCCCGTCAGTTTCAGTTACAGAGTGCAGACACTCGGTATATATTAAGTGGGGACATACAGTGTCTCTCCTTCATAGCCTGTTTCACTCAGCAGTAAATCTTCCATATTCTTCCACTTTCTGTCAAAAGCCTGGGTTTTGGTTTTTTTTTTTTAGTCAGGATTTCTAATCTCTGCTTTTCCCCCTAGGCCTTTTTGCTCAGTACGTGTATCTTACTGGAAAATTCCCACCTAATGCACTCAACTGCCTAGAACTGGCCTAAGAGGGAAAAATTTGGTACCATCACATAAGCTTACCTGCAGGACACACATGCCTAAGAGGACTGAGGGAGCTAAAGCTGACCCTAGTTGCTAAAAGGGAACAAAACACAGTTGCAACAGAAAAAAAATACAAATAGGACTTGTTTCTGGGGAATGAGATCAGAAGTAGGTGCCCTATATTGTTGTAGTCTAGACTAAAGAGCCTGCAATGCTGGAAATCCCCTGATACCAACCAACCTGAAACTAGAAGACATCCATCCCCCCACTAGTACAAGCCAACTGGGACTGGCAAACATCACTCCGTGCCCCCTCCCACTTTCTACTGTTATAAAAGACCCCATTCTGTTCCATTCTGAGAGACAGATCTGAGGTCTACTCCCGTCTCCTTGCTTGTTGGCAATGCAATAAAACTTTTTTTTTCTTGGAAAGGTTTTTGCTATAGGGCGCATACGCTCACCACAGAGACAGAGAGACAGAAATCAAGAGGTCACTCTCCAGGGGGATGGCCACGCCGCAATCCCCTCTCCTCCATTTTCCTCTCGGGATCTTGGGCCTGCACACATATGTTCCTGGCATGAGTTTAAGCCACTGGGTCAGGAACTCAAGCTGTGGTTGACTACATGGGAGTCCAGCAACATAGCCATTACGCCAACTGCTGGTCCTGCAATAAAACTCTTTCTTGCTTCAAGAGTCAGTGCCTCTGATATTGGCTTTGGGTGAATCAGGCAGTGGATCTGCTTGTTTGGTCACATTACTTATGAAAATGGGGAGAGATAACCATACAAGTTTCTGGTGGCAGTATCACACATAGTATGTATTTTGCTAATCCTCTACAAGCGGTGGTCCTTTGTGGGGGTCTAGCTGACAAGCTGATTCTCAAGGTCATCAAAAGTGTTCTTTTTCCTATAGTATTCTTTTTTCAGGTTTTTGCTCTAGGTTGTGTGTGCTCACCGCAGAGAGAGAGGAAAAGTAATAAATTACCCTGCAGGGGGGTAGCCATGTTGGAAACTTCTCCTCCATTCTCCTTTCAGGATTTTGGATTCACTCTCACATGTGCTCAGCATGATTTTCAAACTGCCAGGTCTGGTACTTGAACCACAATAGGCCATGTGGGAGTCTAGCACCTTAACCACTATGCCACTTGCAGGCCCCCTATAGTATTCTTAAAAAAGGAGATTACTGCTTTTGGGACCAGCAGTTGGTGTAATGGCTATGTTGCTGGACTCCCATGTAGTCAATCGCAGTTCAAGTCTTGGACCTGGTGGCTTAAACTCACACCGGGCGCATGTGCATACTTGCCCAAGATCCCAAGAGCAGAATGGAGGAGAAGGGATTGCGGAGTGGCAATCTCCCCGGTGGGTGATTTCTTGCTTTCTGTCTTTTTTGGGACCATACGCCCCCTATAACAAAAATCTCTCAAAAAAAACAAACCAAACCAAACCAAAACAATAAAAAAAAAAAAAACCCAAAAACCCCAAACAAACAAAACAAAAAACAAAAGAGGAGACTACCTCTTTTTTCTGAAGATAAAGACATTCTATACCTTTTTGCTCATCTTGAAAAGCAAAAGAGGGGCCAGCAGGTGGCATGCTGATTAGGGCACTGAACTGCCAAATAGTTTAACCATGGTTCTAGCCCCAGACCTGGTGGCTTGAAAATCATGCCAGGAGCACGTATGTGCATGCCTAAAATCCCAAGAAGAGAATGAAGAAGCGACTGCGGTGTGGCCATTGCCCAGGGGGTGATTTCTTACTTTCCCTCTGCCTCTGTCACTTTCCAGTGAGCATATGTGCCCTATAGCAAAAACTTAAAAAATAATTAAAGAAAATAAAGAAAAGCAAAAGAGCCTTGGGAAGGGAATAAAAAACACAGATCAAATTCTCTCCTCAAAATGCTGCACAGCCAACATTTGGTTATCACTCAATATTTCTGGTAAGAAAATGTTTTATTTATTTGGAAACAGTTTATGGAAACGGCGACGTATTGGAAATTCTAAAATAACTTGCATGCCTATATGAAATGGCCACAGCTGTGTTCCCTCATTCCACAGGAACATGGCCCGCAGACATAGCTGCATAGACTCCCAATAAGCGACTGCCATACACGCCCAGATGGTCGATTTGATCACAGGACATGGGCTCAGGAGGACAGTGAGGTTCTCTTTCCTTTTCACTGCTCTGACTGCAGCAAAACACCAGCCAGAATAGCAGAAACACCAAGGCAACAGCCTGCTTCCGCCAGGCCTTCCCTGATCTCCTCCATCTGCCAACGCTGACCTCCTAGAACAGATCTCCACCAAGTACACCGGCCCTGAGCACCAAACTAGGAGATCTGAGCAGGGAACCACTAGCATGGCCAGGGTGTCCGAGATCTTCATCTCTCCTGACTACTTCAAACTCCCCGACTCAGTCCAGCCAGTGTTCGGTTCTCGATTCTTGTCTACCCAAAGGACGACTCTGCACTACTGAAACATCACTTGCCAGAGGAGAAGATAGGTAGATGGGAGATGTTGGCATTTACAAATATACTTCGAAATGTATGATTCTGAATATATGGCCCTTTAAATACTGTGTGTGTGTGTGTGTGTGTGTGTGTGTGTGCGTGCGCGTGTGTGGGTCTTTAAAAAAAAATCTGTTTTCTAGAATATCTTTGGTCAATGGTCTGTCTTACCATGTTTCCCAGTTCGAGGTAGCATTTGTTATTTAGAAGACTTACAGAAACAAACAGAAAAACGATGCTTCTTATTAGCTTTGTATGGCTTCATCTTTTCTTCCAACAACACTGCTAAGTTGACAAAGATTATGGGAGCCTCTGAGAAGAGGATGATGGAAGGGCTGGGGGAAACTACAAGCTCTTTATGACAGACACCAGCTGCCTGTCAGGCCTTCCTGGTCACAGTGCTCTTGTTAAATCCAACTGAATAGTACACTGGGCCACACAGTCAATTGGTACCACTGGTATCTCAACAGACCAGCATCCTACTTGCCACAGGAGTAGAACACATGCTCAGAGAAATTTCCCCATAAAACAAAGAAAAAGATAAGGTCCACAAGTCTGAAAAGTAACTCTGACTCAGTAGTGTCACAGGGCTAAATAATCCAAACCCCACTGAGGACCTGAGTCACATCATAACTGGTGTTCATGGTACTGATGTCCTGGGGTGATAAAAGCAGAGGCCCCTGCTAGTACAATTCAAAACTGCCTTAAACCTGCACAGTTTGGCTCTCCGTGCCCTAACTAGCATGCACGGAGTCTGCTGTCTCCATGCCTGTGCAGTGTGGTGGCTGTTCTTTTCCTATTTTTCAATGTCAAGGACTTGTGCAGCATAGATGGAGGAAAAAGTCCAAGAGAACTAGCCTATGTTTCTACTTCAGAAATACCCTTGGCTTTCCCCTGGAAAGCCAGGGGATTGTTTCCATCTTCCTTCCTGACGACCAGGTCCAAAACACATGTCTCCTGGTCGTCAGCCTTGCCAACAGCTATCAGGCAGCTGCTTTCCGGAAAGATAGCACTTTGTGATACAATAAGTGTTTTAGATGTTGTTAATTTAAAAATCCACTATCTAATTATTTTAGACCTGGCTTCTGATAATAAAACCTGTCAACATGAACTTATTAAAACTGGCCCCTGATTTACCTTGGGATTAGTTCGCTGTTGCAGTCTCCTCTCTTCCCTCTCTCTTTGCAGTCGCTCAAACTCTTCTCGAATTTCAGCTGGTGTTCTCCTCCTTTCCACAAC